CCCCAAAACCCCAAAACCCCAAAACCCCGAATCACTAAAATTTCAATGTACATTGTAAATGTGAAATTAGTATAATATGTGCTGAAAAACTTATTTGATAATTTAAATTTGTAAATGGGTAAGCAAGATCATTTTCCACTTAAAGCTGATGACTCTGAGGTGTCTTCAATTTAATCACAAGAGCAAAATATATTTCTTAAGATCTTTTATAATCTCAGAGGCCTTATTCTCTACTCATTGGGTATTTTTACTTACAGCTTTGGTAACCTACTGTTTATGTACATTGTGAAGAATTATCAAGTTTCTTCATTTGAAATTTTGTTTTGGGCATCATTCATTATGCTTTTTAGCTTCTTTATTCATAGTTAAATTGCTGGCTAAGACTTGCTAGATATAAAGGTTGGCTTTAAAAAGTTTCTTATCTGTAGAATCCTTTTTGGTACCATGAATGACGGCTTATTGTACTTAAGTTATAATTATTTGACATACAGCAAAGCTACTACCATTCAATTTGGCGGGTCTTTTATAGTACCATTCCTATCATATTACTTTTTGGGAGATAAAATCTAGAAGGAGCATCTCATATTTATATTTTTGGGATTTTTAGGAATATTATTCATGGTCCAACCCTTCAAAGATGAATCCAATACATAATCAAAATCATCATCAGAAATAGAATTGCTAGGTTCATTCATTGCTTTGGGAGCAGCCCTTACTGGTGCTTTTATTTTGATTTTTATCAGAAAATTATAAAACAGTGGATTGCACTTTACCGTTGTACCTGTTTACTATGCTTTAGGAAATATCATAATGCAACCAATTCTTGGTTACTTTTTGTTCAATTAAGATTAGAATAACACTAAGATTGCTGGTCATGATTGGATTCTTATTCTGAGTTTTATTGGCATTGGCTTTAATCTATATATTTCAAATATATTTTTCACTCTAGCATTCAATTATGCCAATCCTTCAGCTATTTCTATAGTTTAATATGTTGCAATGCCTATAACCTTCCTCTAAGATTTGTTGATATTTGGAAATGTGCCAAAATCCATGGAAATAATTGGTGCAGCATTGATACTACTATCAAATTTGGCAATCGCTTTCCATGAGTATAAAAGCAAGAAAGAATGAATTCATAATCCAGATTTCAAAAGTTTATGATAGTCGCTATTTTAATAATGCTAATTAAACTTATCTTATCATTCTATTATCATAAACTATTTCAATTCAACTCATTAAATTAACATTCGGGGTTTTGGGGTTTTGGGGTTTTGGGGAGATCGGAAGAGCACACGTCT